GCTGGAGGGCCTCTGCCAGCTGGAGGGCCTCCAGAGATGTTCCCAACAACTTTTAATTTACTGATGTTTTGGAAAAATTTGTTTCCAAGAAAGTACGCAAAGTTAATGTTTGAATTTTAATTGTAAAGATAAATTTAATAATTCTTTATTTTTTCCCCTTTGAAAATATCACTGGGGCCTCACAGTACCTGTAGCCCGAGGACCTACAAAATCTTAATCCAGCTCTTCATGGGGATAATACTGTTCCATGGGGAGTGTACTGTGCAATAGGGAGAGTACTATGCCATGGGGAGAATACTGTGCCATGGGGATAGTACTGTGTCATGGGGAGAATACTGTGCCTTGAAGAACAAAACTTTTTACTCTGGCAGCCCCTGGGTTTCATTTGCCTACCTTCCCTGTTATTCAATTCTCACGTATTTTGTGAATAATTACCCCATGATCCCACTTGTTAGAAGCTTTGCAAAGTCAGCGTATACATCTATATTACGCTTGTCTTCTTGTACCAAAGATCATTTCCTATTGGTCCTGCAATTGTGATGGAGAGAGGAGGGACCTGTTATGAACCCATGTTGCCCTGGGTTGTGTAATAGTTGCAGTTTCATGTGGTTGGCAATCTTGCTTCACGACCCTCAAAGATTTTGTGAATGTGGGATGTCAGAGCGTTTTTCTACAGTGTTTTGTCATTGTTTTATGCGACTTTTGTAAAATGGATAACTCTAGGGTTCAAGCGACTTCTCAATTGAATATTTAAGGCACGAGGTAGTGGTTTCTGGCAACTCTCATGACTATGGAGTTTCACGTCTTTGGGTCTGGGGTGGAGTGTATGGGCATATATTCAGTTGCTTCTTCGAAGTCAAGTGGGATTAGGACTGTATCAGAAATTTCAGAGAATTCCGTAGCATTTTGCATCTCATTGGTGAGAAACTCATCTGGGTAATTAATCCCTAGACTGGTCGGTGTCTCACTGAACACTGAGTCGTATTGTGACTTAAGTACCTCACTCATGACTATATTCTCGTCAATGTTCCATCTTTAAATAAAGGCAAAAGTTCAACCTAAGATGACTGTAAAGAATATAAGGGTTGTAAGAGGAGTGTGGGAATAAGCGGAGGTTTGCAGTTAGCATGGAAGTTAGTGAGAAGATGGAGGTGCCATGGAGTCGCAGAGCAACAGACGATATGGAGGAGGTAAACACTGTTAGAAAGTTCATTCACTGGCCTCAGCACCGTGTTTGGCGACGGGGACCATCAACAATGTTTGATCAGCAAATGTCAAGCAGAGTCAAGCGAGACTCATGTTTATTTTTAGTCATGTTATGAGGTCTTCATCTTATGCAGTAATTGAATATAGTGAAGGATATAAAACATCTCTTGAAACACGACCCTCAGTGTGTACGCACCACGACCTTTCGTTTGTACGCACCACGACCCCCCGTGTGTATGTATGCCGTAGAAGAGATGGATCTGATGAATATTAAACAGTGATTTGTCTACCCAAGAGTTTTATTGAGAATATTCTTTGTTGAGGAGAAAGACCGCGTGCCCTCGTGTGCCCTCGTGTGCCTGAGCTAAGAATTTTGTCACTGTTGTTGCTGCTGCTGTGTTAGTCTTCAGATAGACTCAAAAGACACTTGTGTTTGCCGTATCTTAACCTGGTCAGTGGAGCTGGTACTAGTACGGTAGGGGAGCGGCAACACCATTATTATTTAGATTTTGCCCCTTAAGCGGCTAGTTTATTATGCACCTATATCCATCCTGTGGACGATGGCGCGAGAACACTAGCATACACAAAAGTCCTAGAAACTAGGACCTAAAAGAAGGTGGATGGTGTGAAGGTGGGGCAGCTATGGTACTATGACTTTTTTTTTTTTTTTTTTGCAAAATTTGATATAATAGCAATGTGCTGCTGCCCTATTCTGTACGATAGCCAGAAAGTTGGAGAAAGAGTTAGCTATGTTTCCATGTCATATTCCATCAAACGGGGTGAATTTCATATATAGGGTTGAGCCAGACTGAGGATACCGTCTAGTATATATTCCATTAAGGTTCAACAACTACAGGACCTTTAAAGGTATATTCTTGCAATAGCCTCTCGACATTTTAAAACTACATTATATAACTAAAACTCCCTAAATGAAATAACTGAGCAGTCAACCAGCTGGAACATCACGAAATTAACTTTACCTCAGCTCTACTCAGCACCATCCACTAACTTCAGGCTGACCCAAGTTGTGCTGAACTAAGCTACGTTACGTTAATTCATTAGAAAGGTCAAGTCGCTAGGGTCGTTTGTTAAAAGGAAATCTGCGCACCTGGTTAATTCACGTTGCTGCGTGCAACAACATGACAGTCGATATTCACACACAAACTCTCATAAATACACACATGAAATCGGATGAATTCACAAATAAATGTGATTATATACACACACAGAAAACACACAAAACACACATACAGAGAAAACACACAGACACACACACACGCACACACACATACAAAAACACACACACACACACACACACATTCACACAAACACATTCACACAAACACACACACACAGAGACACACACAGACACACACACACATACACACACACACATTCACACAAACACATTCACACAAACACACACACACACAGACACACACAGACACACACACACACACACACACATTCACACAAACACATTCACACAAAACACACACACACACACACACACACACACACACACACACACACACACACACACACACACACACATTCACACAAACACACACACACACACACACACATACACACAGGACTACAAAGAGACCTGGACAGGCTACAAGCCTGGTCCAGCAACTGGCTCCTTGAATTTAACCCTGCCAAATGCAAAGTCATGAAGATTGGGGAAGGGCAAAGAAGACCGCAGACACAATATAGTTTAGATGGCCAAAGACTGCAAACCTCACTCAAGGAAAAAGATCTGGGGGTGAGTATAACACCGAGCATATCTCCTGAGGCGCACATCAATCAGATAACTGCTGCACCATACGGGCGCCTGGCAAACCTACGGATAGCGTTCCGATACCTCAGTAAGGATTCGTTTAAGACTTTGTATACCATCTACGTCAGGCCCATACTGGAGTATGCAGCACCAGTTTGGAATCCACACCTAGTCAAGCACGTCAAGAAATTAGAGAAAGTGCAAAGGTTTGCAACAAGACTAGTCCCAGAGCTACGGGGATTGTCCTATGAAGAAAGGTTGAGGGAAATCGGCCTGACGACACTGGGACAGGAGGTCAGGGGAGACATGATAACGACATATAAAATACTGCGCGGAATAGACGAGGTGGACAAAGACGGGATGTTCCAGAGAAGGGACACAGACACAAGAGCACAATTGGAAGTTGAAGACTCAGAATGAATCAAAGGGATGTTAGGAAGTATTTCTTCAGTCATAGAGTAGTCAGGCCATGGAATAGCCTAGAAAGTGATTAGTGGAGGCAGGAACCATACATAGTCTTAAGCGAGGTATGATAGAGCTCATGGGGCAGGAGAAGAGGACCTAGTAGCAATCAGCGAAGAGGCGGGGCCAGGAGCTGTGAATCGACCCCTGCAACCACAAATAGGTGAGTACAAATAGGTGAGTACACACTACCACACACACACACACACACTACCCCCCCCACACACACTACCCCCACACACAACACACTACCACACACACACACACTACTACACACACACACACTACTACACACACACTCACACACACACACTACCACACACACACACTACCACACACACACACTACCACACACACACACTACCACACACACACACTACCACACACACACACTACCACACACACACTACCATACACACACACCACACACACACACTACCACACACACACTACCACACACACACACTACCACACACACACACACTACCGCATACACTACCACACACACACACACACTACCACTAACTAACACACACACACTACCACTAACTAACACACACACACTACCACACACACATACTGCCACACACACTACCACACACACTACCACACACACTACCACACACACACACACGTACTCATATACAACAGGCCTAGTGTCTAATCGACATGTGCCTAGGACAAAATGGTAACTAACACACACGCACACGATGTAGTGGAGGCAGGATCCATATATAGCTTTAAGCAGAGGTACGATAAAGCTCATGGTTCAGGGAGAGTGACCTAGTAGCGACCAGTGAAGAGGCGGGGCCAGGAGCTTGGACTCGACCCCTGCAACCTCAACTAGGTGAGTACACACACACACACCACACACACACACAACACACAACACACACACACACACACACACACGTACTCATATACAACAGGCCTAGTGTCTAATCGACATGTGCCTAGGACAGAATGGTAACTAACACACACACACACACACACACACACACACACACACACGCACGCACACACCACACACACACACACACACACACACACACACACACACACACACACACACTAATAATTCACGCCGCTCATACAAAGCTACATTAACACAAGAGATAACAACAAACAGATACGGTGAACTCGGCTGTGTTTGTATGGTCAACGGGTCAGTTCTTATTCCTTATGAGGAAAAAAAAGAACCAATGGCAACGTCAAGATGCCAGCACAAACAACTCAGTGTTCAGATTCAAATGGAACACTGCAAAATATACTGACACAGACACGTGGAAAGTCAAACTTTTGTGGAGACGGTGTTTCACTCTGTGTGGAGCGAAACGCTGTGACAGTAAAAGCTCACAAAACCTTACCACAGGCGGGAATCAAACTCATACGACTCACCCGCCACGAGTTCAAGCCCCGCCCGTGGTATGGTTTATTTGCAATCGTGTCATCACGATTTCTTGAGTCGTGATAAAAGCTCGTCCTGAAAAGTGTTTCCAGCGCAGTGTTTAGGCTGCGGCTGTGACACAGGAATTCATTCAAACGCCAA